AATCTCTTCCAGTAATTATCTATGTATAAATGTATGTCATGTATATATAAAAATCAGAATCTTATCATCATGTCTCATTTTCTCAAGGACTGTAACAGTATCTTTTGGAGGTAGACAGAGGAGACATTTTTATTACAATTTAAATGACAAGAAAACTGGAACCCAAAGATACACATCTAATTAATAGCAGAACTAGGGCTAGAATCGTGAATCTTTTCATTATACCAGGATCCTGCTGTTCTCCGTGAGGCTTCTAATTAAGTGGTGTTCTTCACACAAGAATAAATTGTGCATCAATCCAGCATCAATAGGACATGAGTTTGTAATTGGATGCTCTTCCTCAGGTAAGACACAGATTTAAGCTGATCCTGTGTCCATATCATGGCTGTGCATTATTTAACATTTCAAAGGGAAACAAGAATGGCGCACCTAGGATCTTAGTCCTAAAAAAACCTAACTAGAGAAGCTAGGCAGGCATCATTAAGATTCAATTTCTTTCCAATGTCCAAATGACATCTGAACAGTGTTGGCTTGGCTCAAATCCTGTTGCTATGATAACCACAGACATAGGTTTAATCCTACCATAGACGAGTGAATTGCAGTACAATCCACAACCACTGACTATATTCCAGAAAAACGTATACAACAAGTATTCAATAAGTGTGTACTGGGGTGAATTGAATGTTTATTATCATTCAGCAGGAACAGTCAACAAAACAGACAGCAAATATAAATATTCCATCACTACACTCAGTATAAAAAAGGCAACCCAATGTGAACTAGCTTTCTATTTTATTCTAAATAGAAGACTAAATTGTAATCCCTCAAATGCAAACACACACCAGATTGTTAACTCTGCAGATGAGGGAACTATATCTTATTTTTCTGCATACTAGCACTGAACTAGACACATTTGAAGTGTCAATGTTTTTTTAATTGAATTATATTTGCTAGGCTGGCGTGGGAGTTAAAAAGATGTTGACTAGTAATTCACTATTCTTTTCCCTGAGAGCTCTTTAAATCAAGCTCTTAAAAAAAAGCAGCAAGCTAAATTCCAAAACCCTCTCTTAGGAGAATGCCCACAACTGGTGGGGTCTGGACTATGTCCACTGGATGTGCAAATCTCTTCTGCACAAACATCATTTACTCCCAAGGGAGCCCATGACTGGCTGACTGGCTGTGGAGATTCACACGTTCCCTCTTTCCCAATGGCATGGGGTCAGGGGAAAGGGTGGGAGCTGAGTGACGAAGCACTGCTAAACTTAATGTTCTGCTCTTCCTTGGAGAAGGGAAATCTCACAACAGGAGGAGAGCTGGTACTTTTCTGGAGGAGGAACCATAAAGAACACAAAGAAGTTGAAAATGATCTTTTTTTGAAGACAAGTTTTTGGTGTGTTTTTAAAGGGCCACTCACATAATACCTCTTACCTTAGACTGGACTGGTGCTATTGGAATGACCTTGTCAGAGCTGAGCTGAAATTCTACAAACTGGGATCAAAGTTGACTGAGTCAGTGGAAGGGTAATATGAGATATAGGAGGAGTCATTAGGCTATGATCCTCACTTTTTAAAAATGTATCCTAGAACATTAACAAAAACAAAATGCTATCCTATATAATAAAACCCTAATATGCAAATTGACCAAACGGTGGAACAACTGGTTGCTATGATGTGCACTGACCACCAGGGGGCAGACAATGCAGGAGCTATGCACTCCCACAGGGGGAGCACCCATCGCTCAGCCTGAAGCCGAGCTCACGGCTGGTGAGCACAACAGTGGTGGCGGGAGCCTTTCCCACCTCCACTGCAGGAGGGCGGTAAGGAGCGAGGTGGGGACTGTGAGAGGGTGCAGGCTGGGCTGAGGGACTCCTCCCCACCACCAGTGCATGAAATTTCATGCACCAGGCCACTAGTTTTCTAGTAAAAACTTTTCCTGAAATATACTGAGCTAGATTTGAAGGAAGTGGAATAGAAAATACTGATTTTTCTGGGAGGCAATCAAAACAACTCAGTAATCTCCTAAGCTTTTTACAAATTCTCTTGAAGATTTAGTTGCAATATAAAACCCACACATTTTTATTGGCAGTGTTTGGTTATCAACTGCACAACTCTCTGAAGTGCCTCCTATACAATTCCCACGTCTGTCTCTGTTACACATTCCCGGGGCTGCTGGCAGGACCTGTCATGTTGGTGCCATGGCCTAGCCTAGTAAACTTTCTCCAGGGGATTTAGGACACACTCTCCCAGCTGCCAAGTTCTCTACTTATAAGGTGCAGAATTTATTAGTGTAAAGAAAGACAAAAAGAAAGACTGTTACCTTTTTAAGTGCATTTTACATATGGTTTCTTTATTAGAGCTTGGTGTTTCCAGAAATACAGCTGCCCAGCTCATTTGTGCTAAATCAGTGGGATTTGTTTTAGCTTCCTATGAGCTTCTGTGAGCTCTGCTACTACCATATATCAACCAAGGTCTTCTGTGCCATGCTTTCTAAGGAAGCCACCTGCAGCAACTCTCATTTTGGGAAAAAAGCCATGAAGACTTGCATCTTTAACCTACACAGAGCCATGCTTTGGAATTCAGGATTGTCCAGTTCTAGAAATCAAGCCTGTCTAGTTACCCAAATACCATCTTTTTCTAGTCTAGGTTTTCTTCTCTTCAATTCCTGAAAATGCCTATTTCCAACTTTGGATCCAATTCTGAGGCAAACATTGGCCTCAGACCATAGCATAGATACAACAAAGAGCACTGCAAGAAAAGGTGCAGCGTGGTGCAAAGAAAACAGGATTTGGAGCTGATAGACTCTTAGTTTCCAGTTCTTACTACTTGTCTGACCTTGGATTAGTCACTTAATAATCTTAGTTTTTCTTCAGCAAAATAAGTAAAAATAGTCATACTATAAGACTCTGCAGAGTAATTATGCCAAAGTATAATTATTTTGTTTGCATGTTTATTTATTTTCCATTTCTCAGTATGCCTCATTAGATTATAAGCATGCCTTTTCTCTGTGGTTCATCACAATGGCCCATTGCACATGATCAAGAAGAGTGAATAAGATTTGAATGAAGGGAAGGAAGGAATAAAGCAAGAAGGAAAGAAAGAAAAAAGGAAGGACAGAGGGAAGGGAAGACAGAGTGCTGAGAGCATTATTGGTGTATATGAAAGTGGTATATAAATTAAATATTGTCCACAATATTAAAGAAATTATAACTCACATTTGATGCATTAATTATATGAAGGTGATTTTTAAAAATGTTACTTCCCTCCATAAAACCATCCTATGACTTTTCATACTACTTACAGGAAAATTCAAACTCCTATTAGCTTAAAAATCCCCATGTGCTCTGACTCCAGCGGGGCTTCATGTCCAGTCCCCCCTTCTCTACCAGGCCCCGTCACTCAGCTATTCTTGTGTTTCCTCAAACATGTCTGCTGTGAGGACTTCATGCTAGCTCTCCCCCTTCCTGAAAGCTCTTCTGCAAAGTCCATATGACTCCTTCTTTTCACTGGGCTCTTAGCTTCAACGTCACCTTCTCAGAGAAGCCTTCCTTCTACACACTTTCCAGGAGCCTCCACTGACTCCTTGTTATAGCACTCTATTATTTATATATTCACTCACCTATTATTAGTCTCCTCCTCACTATCTGATGATCAGTATTTTCATATGACATTATATTGGTTTAATGCACTTTTCTAATTATTATTTTGTTTATCTCTATAAGTTTATGAGCTCAAAGCAAGTACAAAACCCTGTGGTTCAAACTAAAATTTCCCTCTCCATCCCACTGTACCCAGCCCTGCCCCCGTCCCCCTGCCCCCCCCCCCCCACACACACACACTTTGAGAGAGGCATTGTGGCTCTCTGAATAAAAGCAACTGTGCCAGTATTGTGATTGAATTGGAGTGATACGCAATAAGTGATGCAATAAATGTTCAGAACTCTGACTAGAGGGATTGTTTTGAGACATGGAAATGGTGCTGTTGGAGGCCAAGCTGTTCTCTGTTCCAGGCTTGAAGGCCTCCTGGCTCAGGCCTGGACTTAGGCAGAGGGAAGCAAATGGCAGGAACGCTCACTGGTTCCACTGGGTTTGTTTACTGTGGACCCTGGGGGAGCAGAAATTCTGTAGAAAGAGCACTGGACCAGGGCACAGGGACAGGCCCTAGGGCTGGCTCTACCTGCCCTCTCCCCACCTCCCCACCCCAGGTTATCAGTCCCTCTGTTATATGAGGTGGAACTAGATCATCTAGAAGGGGGATCCTAGCTCTGACATTCTATGGGTTAGTGAGAAGAGTCTGACCTTGCATCATGACCAAGACATCTGTGAAAAGGATGGCCCAGGTAATATTTCTGGTAAGCACAGTTTTTCTGGACTAAATGGGATTTCTTGGACTGGTCAGTCACTGGACAAACCCAGATCTCTGCTTTTGCGATTCTTCCTTAGCTTTCTTTCCATTTCCTTCACTTTGCTCGAGAAGTTGGTGCTCTGGGAAAATCCCCTCAATGTCACATAGGGATCAACATCTAACTGTAAGTGCACTTCATTCAGCCACTCTCCAAGGGATGGGCTCCTACTGTATCTGATTTTGGCCAGCATGCTCCCATCTGCTTTCAACATGTTGTATCTGACATTAACTAATGTCTCCTATTAGCATTAAAGAAAACAATCTGGAAAAATTCACTCTCAAGCAGAGTTCAAACAGGCCACAAGTAGTGTGGAATCTCAACTGCACAAGATTTCTTAAAATTATAGTAGTAAATACAATATATATAAATGTGTGTGTGTGTGTGTGTGTGTGTGTGTATGTGTGTGTGTACATGCACATGTAGAGGTGTGGGTGGTGGGGGGTAAAGCCAAAAGTCTGTGAAATGGGTCAAGAATGCTTCTGTCCAATTCATGAGATTAACTGGTAACAGAAGAAAAATTCTCCCAGAGTGGAACAAGGCATGATCCAAAGAACTGAATGACATGGAGAAGGAGCTGGGAATCTTTATCTCACACTTACTGGTAATGGGTTAAAATTCTGGTCCACGAGGTGATTGTATCCATGGTCAAAAAATGAGTGCCGTATCACAACATCAATGCCCTGATTGGCCAGCATTCCTAAAGTGTTCAACCATCTAAAAAGCAGGGGGGAAAAGCTACATCAATACATTTTTAAATAGCATATAACAAATTCTACAGAGTCTGGCTAACACACACATATATACACTAACCACCCTCACCACCAAATTTACCTCATACTTTAATGGAGAAGATTATTTTAAGCATTGAATACCTAGCTGGAAGAGATTTTAGAGATTATCAAATCTTACCTCTCACTTTATAGGAAAAGAAAAAGAGATACAGGAGTGTAAAATGAATTGCCCTTGGTCATAAATAGCTTGTTGCTAATGACTTATTTTCTATTCCTGTAATATTCAATATTTAAATGAACACCATAGGAACTTGTAAACATGATTATCACCCCCTGGCCACAGGATACACAATCAAAGGAGCACACACACTATACTTTTCATCACTTGAACTCTCCTGCTTACACCTTATGACTGTGCATGTGGCTTTCATGTGTCTCTAATTCAAATACTCCTATGATCTGTGCAAGCGTGGGACAGTCATTTGTATCCCTCATATATTACCATCAGCAGCCGATGCAATAATAATTGTCTTCACACTATAACTATACAGGGATTGAAGTGTGCTATCATCACATGCATATCACAGTGAAGGACCTGCATTGCTCAAACACTTATTGCATACCCCACTATGCCAAACACCTACGTTCCAGGGCATGTTTTTTTTCAAAAATATTGTTCTCTGGGTTCTTCCAACACCCATGCTAACTCTGCTTTCATTATTGACAAATTCAGTTCATTCTTTTCTCTTTCTCTTTCTACTTCTGAAACGTAGGGAAACTTCTAATTGTAATAATATAAGTGTAAGAAATATGATTGAGAGCTTCAGTCTTCTCAGTATAATATTGAGGCATTTCATAATATTTTCTCAGCATATGTGTCTAGCTTCATCTGTCACCTCTTCTTTCCTTTTCTCTCACCCTAACCCCCATTTCCCAGGCTCTAAGCTACATAAAACTACTCTTGGCTGCCCAAATACACCATGCTTTCACATGCTTACCTGAGTCTTGATACATGTTTTAACTTCTGCTCAGTATTCCCTTCCTCTCTTCCTCTAACCCATCTCATCTGGCAAATTTCTTTCCACCTGTTAATCTACTAGTCAAGTGTCGCCTCCTTCTAACTTCTGCCACCACAAAGTAGTACCTTCCTCCTCTGTACTCCCAGAACTCTTATTCATACCCTTTTCCAGCCCATTAAATGACAATCACTTGCTTACTTCTCTGCTGTCTCCCAGTTGGTTATAAATTCATCGAGAACAGACATATGTTTTAGCTTTGTACCCAAAACACCCATCACTGTTCCTAGTACAGTGTAGGTGCTCAATACCCTTTATTGTGTTGAAAATGATCTGGATCAAATTAGATCCTAGGAACTTTAAAAATCACCATTCAGCATACTAGAGACATATTATGCATAGTTGTGATTTCCCAAATCTGAAACCATATGGAGCTCCAAACCAGTGACTTAGAGAATGAAAGTTTTCCCTTACTGAAATGAAGAGCATTGCTAATTTTTATATTATGAATGAATATCATTGATATTTTCAAATATTTTTCACATTGACAATTATATGTTATTCTCATAAAAACTAACAAACATTTACTGATAATTAGAGTTACAAATACAAAACAAAACACAAAAGTTTTAAATACAAAAGAAAATTTAACAATAATATAATAGAACCTTTTTTTGTTTGTTTTACTTGGGACATTGCAACTCAGGGAATTAAAAATTCTTTTGAAATATCACACCTAAGCTACTTGCCTTTATTATTTTTATTAATTTGGCAACCCTATGAAATCAGGATAACAGCTTTGGCTTTTCCTTTGAGACACACTATTAAATATCTTGTAGTAGAACTATAACACGAATTCTGAGTGGACGCCTCCTAACTCAGTGTTCTTTCAATGTGAAAATAGGGCAAATACAACAGGGCCAACATCTAACAAGTATTTATCTATAAAAAAACATGTGTGTTATTCTCCTTTCTAGCCCTGTCCTTGTTGAGTGAATGAAGAAACAGAGTGATGAGTAAATATGTCATCATGTATATGTGAGACCCTATATCTACCAGCATCTGGATGTCAACACAAGACCATATTTTGGTATTTTTATATGTGAAAAGTTCCCACTTGTTCATTCATTATTCATTCAAGGACATTAATTAATCAATTGTAAATGCCAGGCCTTATTTTCAACATAGAGGATAGATTTAAAAGTGCTATGACTATGTAAGTCATTTGTAAAGCACTGGGTATGTAAATACCTGTACATACACATTTACAGGGATCATATCAAATTCCTACTTGTGACCTCTACAGAGCCTAGCACAGTCACCTGCAAAGATTTATATATATATAGTAAATAAATGTTAACTAGTAAATCTGAGTTTTTGCTAGTATATGGGGAGGTTTTGAAGGAACTCTAACACAAAAGGGAAGAATATGCATCTTCTTCTCCAAACCCACATCCAATATGCACATCCCCACAGCAGTCAAAATTGACTATAGCCAGAACTCCTGCTTCCCCTTGGCTTTTCAGAGTGGATGGTTAGTACTGAAGTTATATCTTCATCTTCTTCCAGTAATAATAAGCCCTGAGAGGAAGAGATATATGATGTTCTAAGTCTCCCTTTTATGCTCAAATAGAGAAAGGGGTAAGCTGACTGAAATATTTCACCAAGGATGCTACTGCAGCCAGTATTTTTCATTCCGCATAAGTGTATTGCATATCTAATATGTGCCAGACACTACTAGAAGCTGGAGACACAGTAGTACGCTAAGGGTACATTGTAGTGCATCAAAGAATCTCAAAGCCAGCGGGGGGGGGGGGGGGGGGTGGTGGTAGGGGGTAACGTGGGGATAAGGACACATATGTAATCTCTTAATCAATAAAAAATATATTAAAAAAAAAGAATCTCAAAGCCCTGATGGGAAAAAGTACCCTTGAATACTTGACAGTGAAGAATTCTGATTCATGATTGCATGGATATGTGTACCAGTAAGCTCACAGTTATACCATATATTGGGAAAAAAAGGATAAAAAAATGTTTTTTTTTCCTATTTCTTGCTAACTTTCTGGAACTTCCTATAATGCTTTACTTTTTTTTCTAGGAAGCAATTTATGCCCCTTGAAGAGAACTGAACTCAAAGGGCACAATGCTGGATAGCTGCCAGTGGAGCTGTGAGCAAATGTGTGCTAAAGAGGTAAGAAGGAAAACCAGGAGCAGAATGAGCTAGTCTTCATATAGTCTGTGCCAACTAAGCAATGGGTGTCTGAACTACGACTAGAATCTAAACAACCATGTAATCTGTGTTCTGCAAAATGACTGCAGAGATATTTGGCTGATGCTCATTAAAGATAGGTCTCTCTCTAGCTCCCTCCATGAAGGTCTGTGGTACTTCTCACTTCACATCATCCCCTAAAGAGAAGAATGCTCATGAAAACACTCAGTGCACTGGGGCTGTTTGCTGGGCTCTGCAGCAGAGTTCTTTTGCAACAGCTGGGCAAAAGCTAGTCCACTGCTGATGCCAAGAGGTCCCCTGTAGTACTGACTGCTAGTCTGGCTTCTTACCCTGGCCTCTGGGCTCACAGTGAAACCTGGTGGGGAGTGTCTTTTTAAAAGAAGACTTTCAGCAACATTATCAAATGCTGATTCACTCCATGGCATTCATCTGCTCTGTGCCACTCAGTGTTAAGTGCTGAGGACGCATAGATGGAAGACCCAGGGTATCACAGTATATTACATTGACTCGTTATCTTCATCTGCACTTGCAGGATTCTATCTGTAAAGGCAAATCTACCTGACTGACTTGATTTTTCCTTCACAAATGTGTCAAATAAGCTTCTTAGGAAGACCTTGCTTAGCCAAAAGCCAGGACCGTAAGACTAGACAGGACAGGTTAGCCCGTGGTCCTGAGGGATTTGTCCCTGCTATGTAACACTGGCAGGCCAATTAGAGGTCCTTATTCTTCTGGCTTAAATTGTTCTCCAGAAAACTTCAATAACCTTCAAGTTCATTTTCCCATCCCTTGCCTCTCCAAACTCTTTAGTGTACTATTGCCAAAGCCAATGTTTTAAAAGATAGGTCAGAAGGTGTCTCTCTCTCCTCCAAAACCTTCACTGGCTTGCCACTGAATACGGAACAAGCTTCATTTCATCTGCCTGATCTTCAAGGCCTTTCGTGATTTGATGGTAAACTCCCTCCTTAGTCTCAGCCTTCCTATATCCCCTCAGATGCCAAGGCTTTTGTCACACACTTCCCCTCCCCTGTTCCTTCAGCTGAGAATGCTCCCTGTCCTGTCACCACCATTCTCCACCAACAGAAATTAGAGTAATGTCTCTTTGTCCCATTCAAATGCTACTTTTCCCATGAAGCCCTTCCTGATCCTCCCAGTCAGAGAAATCCCTGATTCCTTTGCATGTCTATAACTTTTCTTTTATAGACAGGCTCAGGGAAAGGTAGTCTGATATAGTGGCAAAGAGGCTGGAACACGCTGCCTGGGTGTGAGTCCAATCTCTGCTACTAACTAATAATAGTATTTATCTCACTGGGTTGTTATAAAGTAACTAGAGGCCTGGTGCATGAAATTCATGCGGGTAGGGTCCCTAGGCCTGGTTGGTGATCAGGGCCAATCTGCAGGGCGACCTGCGGAGCAATCAGGGGGCCGCCTGCTGGCACCCACCTTGGCTGGCCTGGGGCCTGCGGGCTGGTGGCAGCTCCTGCGTTGAGCATCTGCCCCCTGGTGGTCAGTGCATGTCATAGTGACCAGTTGTTCTGCCATTTGGCCAATTTGCATATTAGGCTTTCATGATAAAGTAATAGTTCCTACTTCACTGGCTGTTAAATTATTAGCCATATATAAAGCATTTTAAACAGTGCTTGGCACACACTAAGCACAACAGAGTTAAAATTATTATTATATGGCACTTATCTTTATGACTTTACTTATCTTGTCTCCCTTCCTCCAATGTTAAGATCCTGGAGGGCAAAAACCCTGTGTTACTCTTACCCATCTCCCAGGACTATGGTGAAAATTAGATGAGAAAATGTCAGCACTATATTTTGCACTGGGGACATTAAATAAATTTTTTATTACTTTTATGACTACTGTTGCTACTATCTTGTTCTGATGCCTGTGCCTGGCACTTTCATATCTAGAGAAGTCTCTTATCTTGCTTTATTGAATGGCTAAACATATTCACAAATAAGTGGCTGAAGAATTTTCAACATGAACTCTCCCTCTCAAGGGCAGAATACTGAGCAACTATAGAAGTCTCACTATCCTTCTTTCCTCTAAGTCCCTGGAAGTGAAATTGAAAGTGTTACTCACAAGAATCCTGCAGCATAGGAATCTGATAGGTTGTTTGTGCCTCCAGCTGAGGTGGTTACCACACCTTCAAGCCAAATCTTCTTTCCTGGGGTGTATGTATTAACCACCTGTTCACACAACAAAGCAGAAAGGAATAGTGATATTATTAAAAGCTGTTCTCCAATGAGAAGAAACACACATCCCTTAAGGAAATTCCTGCAATCCCTTACTCCCAGGTGGTAATGACCTATGCTTTTTTTATTTTAATGCACCCCATACAGTGACCTGGCACACGCATGCATATACATGCGTGCGTGCGCGCGCACACACACACACACACACGCACACAAGAATTAATACTGACACATGTCCACCAAAAGAAATAATCACTTTTCCCTAAATTACTCCAATGTGACAAGAGAACAAATGCATATTCCAGGACATAAACTGACTGCAACACCCTTCACTGGAAGATATAAATCTATGATATTTCCTTATTAACAAGCACTGAGAAGCAAGTTTTCTTTTTGTTTTTAAATACATTTTTATTGATTTAAGAGAGGAAGGGAGAGAGAGATAGAAACATCAATGAGAGAGAATCACTGATCGGCTGCCTGCTGCACATCCCCTTCTTGGGATCGAGCCAGCAACCTGAGCATGTGCCCTTGATCAGAATCAAACCTGGGACCCTTCAGTTCGCAGGTCAATGCTCTATCCACTGAGCAAAGCCAGCTGGGGTAAAAGCAAATTTTCTTAATACTCTGTTACAGCAAATCCATGGATGAGTGCACTGTCCATGCATCAAAAGTCATCAATCATGAGAGTCCACAGAAATCAATGTCTGGGAGAAGTATTTTACAATTACCAGGGCATGTGTACATATTACAACCACATTTTGAGGTAACTGCAGTAAGCATAAAAAGAAAAATCACTGACCCACAGGTGAAAGATCCTACCCAGGGAGCAGTCTCCTAAGCAAAGGCAAAACCTTTTGTCAAAAGGTGGCCCTCTGACGTTTTGAAATGGCCTAGTGTCTGATCCACAAGTTGGAGATTGGCCAAACTATCCCAATCAGAGCTCAGATCTTTTGGGAAGCAATCTGGCAGTACTTAGGGATAATGCTGTACACTGCTTAGCCTCTGAAAGCAGAGCTGACACAAAGGTTTGTCTATAGGTGGTTCATTTGGGAAGTAATATCAGCAGGAATGAGGAACTGGGGGACTGAAATAGGGAGGAAGGGGAGACCAGTACAAGGAAGCATTTTCAAATTGGCAACCAGTGCTGGCAACTTGTACTCAGTCCCAGAGGGATCTTGGTAAGAGCTGTGTCTCAGAACTGTCCTTTGGCTCTTATCCTCCAAAGGTCAAGAGTAGCCTTGTGACATTTATCCCCACCCGCAATTACCCCATTTCATTGAGGGGTGAGGCTCTACTGTGCCATACCAGCACTACACTGGTTACGGCCTGTGCGCCTGCCTATCTCTGATCTCTGCAGAGATAACCAGAGCAGGAGGTGGGACTGAGAAGATGCTGGTTATGCACAAGAGGCACTGGATAAATATGATAGTGCATTTAGTAAGGTCCTATGGCCCACCAATTACTCTCCTGTACATTTAGACCAACTCTATTTTCCCTTAGGTCTCTAAGGAGACAAGTATGAGAATGTTTGTGGCAGATGTCTGTTGCTAGAGGAACAGGAAAGTAAAATGTGGTGGATATATATCATAAAATATTATGCACAAGTTAGAGAAATAAATTCAATGTAAATCCAGCAATATGAACAGGTTTTAAAGGGTTAGTGGTAAGTTAAAAAAATAGCAACAATATAATATTTATGGACCAATATTATTTATATAATTACCATTCACACCCAATAACACTAAACAGTATATAAAGATAAATGTCTCTTAAAGACATATATCAAACACATAAGGAAGTCATGCATTTGAGGGAGGTACATATGAGTGAGGATTAGAAATGAAGGTGAAAATTAAAGCAGGTCTTTGTATGAACTGATGATAATAGTTTGCTATAGTTCAGTAATAAGATTTTAATTAATTCTTTCCATATATATACATATATGTATATGTATATATATATGGAGAGAGAGAGAGAGAGAGAGAGAGAGAGAGAGAGAGAGAGAGAGAGAGAGAGAGTTACATGTATGTCAGAACTTTCCTCTTTTCAAACTCATGGGCAGACATCAGCAAAGAGATTTCTTTTTTAAAAATCTCTTCCTCGGTACAGTTCTCTGCCTTTCCATTCCCCCTCCTGCCACCTACTAGATAATTTATATTATTTGAGACCTATTTTCAAATCAGAGATAGCAAAGTGCTTGACCCTTTAAGGAATAAAGTTGTAAAAATACTTCAAAAATTTCAGATGAAAGTAAGATAGCAATCAAAAATTGAAGAAAAACCCTGGGAATTAATAGTGGAGATCAAATTAGAATGCTGTTAAAGATTAAATAAGAATCCCCCTTACACCAAAAAAAAAGAAGAGTTATTGAGGAAGTCACAGACAGTTCTCCTCCCCTTCTCAAATGACCCAAACCCATGTAGCCAGGGCAACACTTTATAACTAAAAAAGCAAGGAAAACACCTTAAATGATCAAAAGATAGAGCCATACAGTGACACTAAAGGATTACAATGATTCCCCTTAAAAATACCTGTGCTAGAAAAATACCTGTGCTCTTGATAAACTTTGTAGTTCTTTTGTGACTAACTAAAACTAAGTCAAATAATGGTGTTTTTCTTTTTGTCTTTGACTTCTAGGATATTCAGGATTTAATTTTGCTCAAAGACAGATATTGAAATGAGACAATTAGAGAAAAGGGGTTTGGTTAAACAAAACAAAACAAAAAGGTAAATACTACAGTATGATGAATCTTGAAATCATTAAACTAAAAGAATCCAGACACAAAAGGCCACATATTATAGGATCCATTTATATGAAATACCCAGAATAGACAAGTCCATAGAGACATAAAGCAAATTAGTGGTTTTTTAGGGTTGGAGAAGGAGAGGGAGAAGAGGAGAGGAGGTGGGGAGTGACTACAAATAGGTATGGGGTTTCTTTGGGGGATGATGAACATGTTCTAAAATTAAACAGTGGTGATGGTTTTACAATTCTGTGAATATATTAAAAGTCACTAATTGCACACTTTTAAAGGGTGACTCTATGGTATGTGAATTATATCCCAATAAAATGGTATATGTGCCTTTTTATATTTAAATTACCTAATAATTATAAAGCATTTGGAGAAGTGCCTAGTATATAGTAAGCTCTTAAAGCATAAATCAAAATTACCTAGATCACTCTTCTTGTCCAAAGTATATATGATTATGTTTGGATTAATCTAACATTAAAGCTGATTACTTTTCTTTTGGACACAATGCTTTTCATGGTAGATAATGGGCCAGATGTATGCTCAGTAGCAAAGAAAGGTCTATTTAAAATTTAAAATGCACAGGGATCATTTACATTAACATAATTCCCATTCAGAGTAGTTCATTTATCCACTCTCAACACAGAAGCAATTCTTGTCTTTTTCTAGAGAAGCCACATGAACAAAAAATACACAGTGAGGTAGAACTTTGATACAAAATCTAAACAAGTTATATGAAATGTTCTGTGGAAAAGAGATTCCTTGAAAGTATTCATATTAAAGGTTCTGGGAGTAGTTGGTACAGATCAACAAGGATTTTCTGAGCATTTACCATTTGGAACATGGTGAGAAGCTTGATGAACTGTATGACTATCATGAGCAGAGAAGACCATTGTGGTGAGGTGGTAGGGAGGTACTGAGGCTGGGTGCTGGTTGGGATTAGGAAGGAAATCAGTAAGGGCAGACTAGGGACGAAAAAAATCAGGAAAACCAGATGGAACCACCTGCAAAATTCCCTTAGAAAGTGAAACTCTAAGAAACGGAGAGCTCTAGTTCAACACTGCGGTTTTCTGCGTAAATATGATTCTCCCTGTGCTGGAAGAGAGAAAATTGCAGGACTGGAATAAACAAAGGTATGTTCCTGGTGAGAAATGATGTGCCAATGAAGGTTATTTTAAGAAACACACTGACTGGGGAGGGGGAAGTACAAATGCTGAGATTACTGATGTGAAGGTAGAGGGAGCGAAGTGGTTCATTCCCTTTCAGAAGCTCTTTGTCCTAAATAGGCTTCAGCCATTGGGCCCATGTAGACAAGGGAGTTTTGAGGCACCCACAGAATAGCTCACAAGTGACTAGTTGCTGATCAGAATCCTTGGGCTTGATTGGGGGCAGGGTGAAGGGAAATCCAGTTCTGTGCCCTCATATTTCGAGCTTGAAGGCCTCAGGACTATTCGTGTGGCTATGCTGAAGGAAGTGAGGTGAGAAAGCAAGAAGAGGTTAGGAAAACAGCACCGGTTTTTAAAAAGTTTTATTTTCTCAACCACTTTGAAATGCTTCTTTAAAGGAAAAACAGTAAAAATAAAAAAATAACCATTTACGTGGCATAGTTTCAAACCTGGACTTCCTTTTCCTGTTTCTCAAAAACTGTGACCTAAGTCTTCTTTAAAAAATGACTCCTGAGAGCCTGGTCTCAGCCACTGACTGTGCAAGAGATGGTAGCCTTGTAGCAGCAGACATGTTGTTTATGGTTATCCAAACCCAACACCTTCCTTAATGAGAAAGGAAGCAATAAAACAGGAGCAGTGGACAGGCCAGCTGGCTAATCAGCCCTGGCAGGAGGCCCACCCTCCAAAAGAAGCTGGAGTCCATTAATTCCAGCCTCTCATCTACTCAGACATCAACCTTCCCCAGGACATCAGGAAGAGCAGTAGCCCTTTAAGAAACCAGAACTTATCTCCTGTATCATCGGTTCAAAGCTTCAGGAAGCTTCTTAAACCTTACCTATGCACAGAGCTCCTCTTGGGGGTGCCTCTGCCTCTTTGTTCCATATTATATTTTCAAGAGGTTCTGGTTAGAGTTCAGGAATGTTCCGATGTTTCTTTATATTCTTCTTGTGTATTTTTTACTTTAAGCTACCTCCTATTAGAAGAGGAGGGGATCATTCCATTCTGTCCTCTCCTTCCTCACTGCCCTGTTCTGAGTGCTAGATCTTACCATTTCTTCCTCAGTCCTCCTGACAAG